TTTCAAACTCTCTTTTAGCTATGATTGAATCTAATTTAGCTAATGGTCCTATTTATTTTAATTGTTATCCAAACTGTTCTCCGTCTCTTTATGATCCAAATATTTTAGATGTTTTAACTTTAACAATTAAATCTAAAAATATGAATTTTTCAAATAATACTAGGTCTATAGCAGTTATATATAGAACTACCCTAGATCCTAGATCTAGACACACTTTAACTAATGAAACAATTATTTTCGAAACTAACACCCAACATACAAAAGTATACACTCCTAAAAGGTTAAAATGACATGAATTAACCCAAGGAAATTCATGGGATCTTCAAGAAATTAATTATCCAGTATCTGTTGACAATGTTTCTACTTCCTCTAGTATTTTAGAAGATACCGATGGAAGTATTCATGTTCAATTCCTTCCTTTAGAAAATCCTACTAAACAAGTATTTAGTTGCAAAAACACTAGATTATCTACATCTACCCGAACCCCAAATATTCAATTACAAAGTGTAGATTTTAATAGATCTATACCTAGACCCATATATCAAGAAGTAGAACGACCAGTTAACTCTTTGCTTTCCTCTCCTGCGAGATCTTTATCTCCTACAAGATCCGCTATGGAACATATATCTCAATTAAATGTTATTAGTGAAAATGAATTTTCAATTAGTAAAGAATTTCTTAGAAAAGAAATGACTAGTGATTATAATTTGGACAAGTGCCATTGGTTTTTTGAAAATTATTCGAAAGAAAAAAGAGATCAGATTAGATAATTATATTACGGTAACATGAATCTATATAAAGTTAATATTCCTTTTTTTTCAATGGTTTTCTATTTATTCTATTGAGAATAGTATAGAATACCCTTTTCAAGAAGTCTTAGTCAATCAAAAGGTAACTAAGGAATGGATAACTACATAGAAGTCTTAGTCAATACAAAAAAGGCAACACTAAGAATGCAAACTAATCCTAATGATGTTGATTACATCCGTTCATCCTCCTCTAGAAGAAATTAAAATTTGTGTCCAATCCTCCTCTAGAAGAAATTAAATTTGGTCAACAACATCAGATAGTTATAGGTTCTCCTTTTAAGATGATAAATACAGTAGATGATGATAAGAAAAATCATACATTAAAAGATATTAAAAATGTTCAATTTCAAAACAATTAACAAACCAAATACTCAATACAATAGCGTCACAATTAGATAGATTGGAAATTCAAACTCCAGTACCCTATACTTTCCTATTCAAAGACCCTTACCAATTACTAAACTAGAAATTTCAATAGTTAAGCCCCATGAAATACCTGCAGAACAAATAGTTAAGTTAGACAAAATAGAAAACATGTTAAAAAAGATACAAAATAGGTTAAATTATTTGAATATTTCCTCTTCTTCTAGTATTAAGGTATTAAGTAAAGACAAACAATTTGAAGAAGAAGAAGAAGAATCTGACACGGATATTAGTCAATTCAACTATTCAGTGAAAATTTTATTGTTCAGAAGATTCATAATGCAACATACCCAAAACTAGAAGTTTTTACCTTAGGCCGACACCTCCAGATATACAATATGAAAATAGATCTATCATGACTCAGGCTAGATATGATGGAGAATCAATTAATGAATGGAATGGAGAATCAATTAATGAATGGAATATAGATCGATTATCAGAATATCAAATAATAAATATATTACAAGAAATGACTATGGCCTCATCAGCCAATAAGTCTAAGGGTAACACTGATCCAGATGTAGCTCATATATTAATCTTAGGATTTACTGGACAATTAAAAGGATGGTGGGATAACTATCTTTCTATAGAAGAAAGACAGAAAATATTAAATGCTACTAAAACTATAGTTAAACAAGAAGGTCAACAACAAATACATACAACTGTACAAAATGCTGTTAATACATTAATTTTTGCAATTACTAAAACCTTTATAGGTAATACATTAATTTTTGCAATTACTAAAACCTTTATAGGTGAACCAGGAGAATATCAAGCTAGAACCTCTGAATTATTAACTAATTTGACTTGCCCAAAGTTACAAGATTTTAGATGGTATAAGGATCCATTTCTTACAAAGGTATTTACTAGGCAAGATTGTAGGCATGCCTTTTGGAAAGAAAGATTTATTGGTGGATTACCTAAGTTATCTGCTAAAAAGGTACGCTTGAGAATACGAGGGATATACGGTGGATTTATACCTGATGATACCCTCATATATGGAGAAATTATTTATCATGTCAATAATGAAGGTTTAGCTCTATGTACTAATCTTAAGTTAAATGCAAAAATGAAGAGTGAGTTTCATCAAAGTAGAAAAGAATTAAGAAGTTTTAGTAGTCAATATGGATATGAAAGGTTACACCCCCCTTCTACTAGAAATAACAGGAAACATAAGAAAAATCTCAATAGAAGACCTTTTAGAACTAGAACTTTTCGAGATAAAACCCTTAAGGATAACAAACCCCCTCAGATAGTTAAGAAGAATACAGTTAAAAGAAAAGATAAAAGACAAATAGTGTGTTACAAGTGTGGAAAAGTAGGACACTATAAGTTGCAGTGCAAGATGAGAGAAAAAATAAATAATCTGGATACATCGGATAAGTTAAAATAGCAAACAATGAGTTTGCTTCTCACCGATACAGATACAATACAGATTTAGAAAATTAAAGTTGTAACCCTAAAGATTTATTATTAAAGTAGAATCTAGTTAATTCAGAAAATAGTTTCAGTGATATAGATAAATGTGAATGCGATTGGTCCTGTATTTGTAAGGATAATAGTATAAACTAGTTACTAGAGAAACACTATTTTTCTTTTTAGACTGTATAGATTAATTTTCTTTTAGACTGTATAGATAAGATTGAAGATAAGAACGTTAAATGGCAATATTTGTTAAAACTAAAAGATGTGATATCACACAAAGACAGATAAGGTTTATCCTATTAGATGATAGCTATCCGGACTTAGGTTTTATATTCAAAAGTTCAAATAAAAAAGGTTTTCTCTCTTTCTGATTGGAACCAGAATCCATATACTGAGAGAAAATTTAGTCAAAACTTTGTACCAAGTTTGTAATTACACAAACTTACAGACTATCACTTAAATCAGATAAAATGTGTTTAGATCTAGGATCTAGGGTAGTTGTCATAACTTTGTAGTAAATTCTATATAGAACTACTATAGACCTTGTATTATATGAAAAGTTCATATTTTTTGATTTAATTGTTAAAGTTAAAGCATCTAGAATATTTGGATTGTAAAGGGACAGAGAAAAGTTTGGATAACAATTAAAAATAAATAGGACCATTAGCTGAATTAGATTCAATCATTGCTAAAAGAGAGTTTGAAAAATTCAAATGTCTTGCATCTCGTAAACATGCAAAAATAGGAATATTTAAATCAACTCGAAATAAAGGTTTAATTGCAACTTGAACTATACCTATATGCAAAATTTGTATTTTTCTTTGTGCCTCAAAATAGCTTAGGGAGAAAATAATTGAATATTTTCATACATATGGCTTAATGGAACAGATTGTTCGGTTTGTTTAATTGAATAATCAGAGTTTAATTGAATTAATCAGAAAGAAATCAATGAACCAATTTTTATAAATAGTATTAAACATTCATGTTTTTGGGAATAGACCAATTATGTAGCTGATTTCTCCACCATGAGCGATATTCATCTTTGGATATTCCAAATCACTAAGGCTTAGAACTACGGTCATTAATGTTTAAAGACTAATTATTTAGAAAGAGATTAGTAATCTACTCATTTTGCCAATTAATAGTAATCTACTCATTTTGCCAATTAATAATCGTAACTAGAGACTATTGATTACTAGGACCACCTTTGCGAGACCACCTATCACACGGCTGACCAACGCTTACACCGGTTGACCAACAATAATTCAATAGCTTTGTAATTACAACTAGTAACGGCTTAATTAGTAGATTTCTATATCTTATTCCTAATAATTAATCCATAAATAATTAACAATATTATTCCTAATTAACTAGTACTTCTAATTCTTTACTTGATTTTCTTACCATTTTGAATTTGTAATTTTTTTTTATTATATCACTTAAGTTATTTTTTAAAAATTTAAAAGGTATTAGTTATTTAAAATAATTAACAATCTTTATATTTATATTTGAATATTTGAATTTCTTTTAGTTTTAGATTGGATTTTTTTTGTGTTCATTTATTAATAATAATTATCTATGTTTACATCTCTTTTTTTTTTTAAAGCATTTATATTTATATCTATATATCTTTATTATTGTTTTTATAGATAGAATTTTTCTGTATTTCTTTCAAATTTATAATTTTGGAAAAAAATTTTAACTAATACTTATATCTAGACTTTTATATAGTATGTATTTACCATATTTTAGTTTTTTAATATATTTTTCATAATTTTTTATTTGTTTTTTTATTTCTCTAAAGTTGTGGAATTTTTTTATAAATATGTATTCTTATTTATGCAACAAAAAATAACCTCTAACACTATATACAATGGCAAAGTAATAATCTCCTAGTTATATAAATTTTGAAATCACTCTTTTCGAGTTAAGAAAGACATTCTCATAACTAATGGAATTTGTCAAAAGTGCTAATATTTGAATTACCAACTTAATTAGAAATCTTAAAAATAATATTTTATAATTGACATTAAAAGAACTGATATTTGAATTCAATTATAATCATATTGTTATAATTAAATTATGATATCAAATGAATGATATATGTACTCAATTATCATAATGATGACTAATATTTATATCTAATATTAAAATTTTTTAAAAAAATCATCATATCTCTATTAAAATTAAAAAAAAAAAAAAAAAAAAAAAAAAAAAAAAAGAAAATTAAAAAAAAAAAAAAAAAGACAAGTATTACTGAAGATTAATATTTAAATTCAATTAGCAATCCTCATTTAAATTTAAATTTAAATTTTATTATTAAAAAAAATATTAAATCATAAGTAAAAGGAAGTATCAAGAGTAATATATTAATGGTATGGTTATGAATGGATGAAAAATTCATCATCCATCAAAGTCGGTACAATAATACTGACTACTAATTGGACGAAAATGGAGGCAAAGGCTTCTATCAGTGACCCTTACTACAATTTGTATGTTTGTTGATGGTTGATGGAATATTGACAGATGAATATGGTGCAAGTTTTCCTGTAAGGATTAGCTGTTCTTCAGTAAGAATAATGACTTTGTTCCTAAACACCCCCTGATGCAGCAAAGCATTTAGAATAATGAGATCTTTGCTTCCAGCCATGCAGCACCCACTGCAAAAAGGATTTTCCTGTATCATAAACTCAGCTTCGACTTCTAATCATGTTAGGTTTCATGGCTTCTATATACAAGGTTTCCAAAAGAGGCCATAGATTTATCAAGCCTGAGTTTCGCTCTTAACTGATCCCTTTAACTGGAAGATCTGGGTCCATTCCACCTGACATATTGTAGGAAGGACCAGAAGCTGCATTCCTCCTCGCTGAAAAGCACAGCTCAGCTCCACTCAGCCTTCGATTCCTTGTTTGAATAATAAATATGCTATTCCATCCATCAGTCCATTATATCAACTCCATTTACCACCATGAACTGGAGTCTTGTTTTGATTTTTGTATTTGCTTGTCTTTAGATGCGTCAACACATGGCTAATTTCATTAGCAGATGAATGTACCCCACCCTTCAACCACAACAGAGCCTCACCAGCTGCATCCTTTTCTGCAAGTTTCTTACTACTGCAAGGCTGTCCAACAAAGTCCAACCCATTAAAGATCACAGTAGAACGAAACTTGTTGTTTTTCAGTTGTTTCGTCTTATAGGTGGGCATTCCATTTCCTGCCCTGAGAAGCAAAGTTTGCAGCTCATTTTTATGATT